TCTCTGCTGAGCTGTAAGACATACAGCATCTGGTCCCACTCCTCACATCCTTCCTTCCAGGAAGATGTGGCCTTTCCTACATACAAAGGCAGGGCAAGTGGTTTCTGCTGTTCACAGCTGCCTTCCTGCCTCGTTGTGGCAGAGAGAGGGAGGCAGGAATGAGTGATGCGATGAGGTGGGAGAAATATCAGTGTGGAACAGAATTTTGAACACTGGATATGGGGAAAAAAGAAAAAAAAATACCTGGAGATCTCCTGGAACAGAACCAAACTGTTTTTCTTCTCTCTGTTTACCTTAAAGCATGGGGAGGGTGTCTCTATGTAGTATTTGAGCTGTTTATTTGGCAGAGACTGTTGTTAAAAGAAACCCACAGGAACCGTCGTTCAGGCCAGAGAAGTGCTTTTCCAAGACACTCTCAGACTCTCTGGAACAGAAAATAACACAAGTGCAACTTTAGCAAAGAAAGGCTAAACCTTCTGGCATAGTGCTCCTTTCTCAGCTTAGCAAGCTGTCATGCCCCTGCCATTGCACTGGAACTCCACTTAGCAAAAGCTGTTGCAGCCCATGAGTGGGTTTTTGTTGTTTTTTTTTTTTTTTTTTGTGTTGAGCTGTGGTATAATTCATCTTTCTGCAAAGAACCATGAAAAGTATTGAGCAGAAGGGAGCCACATGAAAAAAATCCAACAACAACAACCCCCCAAACCCCCGAAAAGCCCACTCCTATGGGCAGAGTAAACCATTTATTGAGCTACATCTTTATCACTATTGTCAAGTTCTTGGCCACATACTCTGTGCTCTCCCAAAGCCCATCTGGGTGGCATCCCATTCATTGCTTTGCAGATCTTCCTTTCCCAAGGCAGGCCTAGAGGGCGTGATGCCATAGTGCGCATGCTGTGGAGTCTGTGGAGTCTTTTTTTCTAGGAAAGCAGAGAGCTCTTCGCTGCTGGAGACCTGCATCCTCCGGGAGGGCAACTTGATTACAAAGCTCAGTGACCCAGGGGCAGCACAGGATCAGGTGAAGGACATGCCCCTTGAAACTGGAATCACATGTAGTATAGTAACCCCAAAAACGAAGGATGTCTTAATCCTGAAACCTTCACACAGATGCTTTTGAAGGCTCCAGTGATTTCCTTTTTCTAAAGGTTCAGTAAGAGCGCAAATGTGGCTGTGAGAGTTTTTGTAAATGCTGCCCTTAGACTGGAGGGCTCCCAAGAGCAGATATTCTACTATGTGCATTTTGTCCTAGATTTACAGACTCTAAAAAAGGTAAATCACTATGTCAGCATGGACTGGTTTTTATAGTGCTTTTGCTGCTCTGCTCTACTGTGTACTGTGGTGTGATTGTCAGATAACACTCCCAACAGAGGCATGAGGCAGGGAAAGGAGCCCTTGTTTACTCCTGAAGTAGCTCCTCTTCCCACATCTTATTTGAAGAAAATGAAGTTCACTGATAGTGTAAGGAATCACCCTGGGGATGCAAGAAAGGCTCTTCTCATTCATTATACCAGCACCACTGCAAGGCTGGGACACCCTGTGCTTGTGTCTGCTCTAAAACACAAATTCTTACATACACTTAGCAATTTTTTTTCCACAAACCTTGCAAGAGGGTCAAGGAGGTGCAGGGGAAGAAAAAAGAAAAAAAAGAAGAAAAAAAAAAGATGAAGGAATTTGCCTGAGGCAAGGGAACCACAGAAACACAGAATTTCATCTCCCTGGTTGCCAGCTCTCAGCACTGAGATCTCTCTGTGTCCTTGTCCAGTGGGATTATTTCAAGTGGGAGGCATTTTGGGGAGGGTCAGGACTGAGATACAGGGAGGCAGCAATGGGGAGGGTGAGCTGAGGAAAGCTGGGGGGAAGAGCCTGTACCTAGTGGTGAGCTGCTCCTCTTGCAATCCATCAAACTGGGGAGCATTATCCCCTCTGCCCTTCCTTCCTCTCCCAACACAAAGAAAATCCCTGAAACTCAAGCGGCCACGCAGCAAACTGTGTATGGTTAAGCTGCAAGGAGTGAGTTTATTCCTCCTAGGCAATGGCAAAAAAAAAATAAAGTCACATGTCAGCGATAGGTAGTGTTTTGTCTTGTGATACCCATGCTCAATCTTGCCCTCTGCACGAAGCTGAGTGCCACACTCTGAGGCTTGTGTGAAACTGAAGAGGGAAATAGTGAGTTTCCCCTTTCTCCTCTTGCCCAAATCACAGGGATGCAAAGCAAACAAAGCACAGCAGCAAGGAGTGATAGCTAGGGAATCTTTGCTCTCCACAGCAGATCAGGCTCACAAGCACCTGCCTGGTAGAGGAAACAGGCACCATCTGCTCTTCTGTTGCCATTTACTTAAGGGCTGGGGGGACTTTACAGAATCCAGTGCAATGTGTTAAATAACCAATTTTAGCAGGCTACCCCTGTGGAGTGATGGTGTGGCACCGCAGGCTGACTAGAAACACTCCAATTCTTGGTGGCAGCAGGCATCTGCTGTCTGATCAAGATTTGCAGGAGCAGGTCTCCAGTGGCCAGCTTCAACATGGATTTAACATCACCGAGGTCAGAGGTATAACTTGAGGGAGGAACTTTCTCGTCCAAGATCGTTAGTTAATAGCATCCTGCTAATTATGACTGAGTGCTGGGCTGCTGGCGAGTCCCCTGCCAGCCCTCAGACATGAACCGCTGGCTCGGGGGCGTTTGCTGGGGAATGTCTGGCTGAGATGTGCTTTGTGCCTGAGCTGCTCTGCTGCTGCTGCCTGAATTGCCTGAAGAGAGAGATTGTGAGAACTGCTGCTGCTACCGGAGAAATCTCCATCCCTTCTGCCGTTCAGTCTTTTGTCTGGCGAAACTCGCGGCTGCATTAAGAACAGCCAGCATTCCGCCCACCACACATTTTTACATTTTTCAGATGGGTAGGCAGAGGGTGCAAAGAGCTTCAGATGTCTGTTTGGTGGGTGGTGGTGGCTTGTTTTTCCTTTTTTTTTTCTTTTTTCTTTCTCTTTCTGGCTTTTGGAGCAGATTATTTATTTGCATAATTCTCTTTGCGTGTTGCAGATGTGCACTTTTAGCTCACGAAACTGCATTTACCTCTTACTTCTAGACATACCTTCTTTACCTGAGTTAAATCCTTTCATCAGTGCAAAATTTTGCCCTTCAGAGTATTTCCTGCACTGAAAATGGTGTAAAGGTCCAGTTTTACATTGCTGAGAGCAGAATTAATCCTCTTGAATTTAAGCAGCTGCCTTCCCGGATTTTTAATTGTCAGCTAAATTTGGGGCTGTTCATCTGTGGTTAGGAAAGGTGAGAAGAAAGTACAGAGTCCAAACCTGCAGGTTAATAAATCTGTACTTTATTTGTACAGACAAATTTCTGCACAGATTTAAAACAGACCAGTGGGACACAAGCTGCACACAATCAGTAGATGACATGTATTTTATGCAATGCATCAGAGAAAGTTAAAGAATACATTGCTTGGTTGTGCAAAATTAGCAAAGACCTGAAGTGCCAAATAATATATTGGAAGTTTGGTGAAAAGGGTTGGAGAGAAGGAAGGAAAAGAAGGAAGGGAACTAGACAATAGAAATGGAAATCAGATCCCTTGCCAGCAAACAGGCTGCATTTTAACTAGAAAGTGCTGTGGCTACAGGGAACTCGAGAGATGTGTAGGTGACTAGAGCAAAAAAGCTGTGCTGAAACATTATATTTACTGCAGGATTGGACTAGAATAATTTTTTCTGCTATGTTTCTATTGGAAACTCCAAGCACAGCAACAGGAAACCCACACTGGTGAAGACAAAAGGAGAGGAATTTAAGGCGGAGAGACTTACTGAAGTGGCTTACACCTGAAACAAAGCTCCCCACAGAGCTATCCTTGCAAGAGGAGGCACTGGGAAAGGAAAGGAGCTGCTGTTTGCTGATCTCGAATAAATGTCAGAAATACAAACACACGTTTTTGAAGTGTAAAGCAGGAGCTGTTCTCACAAAGGCATCTGTTTGCTGACAAGGCTTGTGACCACAAACGTAGCATTGTCCTTTCCAGAGGCATGAGTAGAGAGACAAAGAAAGCATGACTGAAGGAGTAGGCTGGGTTTATTTTTCCACCAATAGCACCACTAACAAGACAAGAGGGCATGTTCATAGCACCAGGGCTGGGTGTTGACCTACTTTACTAGAGTGCTGTGCTGGGGGCTGTCTGCAGCAGGAGGAAGACAAGAAGCAGAATCTCTCTTGGTATTTTTTGCTGAGATGTAAACAGGTACTCAGCAAACACTGACCCACGTGGCAGAATTACAGTGCAGAGACCCAAAGGCCTGGCAAAATACTGTCCAGTCAACCCATTAGAAGAAAAAAGGAACCCCAAATAACTTCTCCTATGTTACAAAATATAACTACCTTTGGACAGATAAGTATGTCTTCAGATAAAAAAAAAAAAAAAAAGAAAAAAAGAAACAACAACATAAACACCAAAACAGAAGACAGAAAAAGAAGCAGGTGGCATTCTGCATTTCACATGGATCTGAGCAGCTGCTTGGAAGAATAAATCTGTGAAGGCAAAATTTTTGCCTTGGGCATTGAAAACATTGCAGTACAGAGAAATGCTGGAAGACAGTGTTTAAATCTGTACCACTGATGTGGCAATGTTCTTGCCAGAAAGGTACATGCAACATGTTTGAGGTAGGTGCAAAGCACCAAGCAGATTTGTTCCCACAGCATAAACCAAAAATGATACAAAGAGCAGGAGAACAATTAAAAAAAAAAAAAAGGGAGATATAATCCCCATTTGGATCAAGAAATGAGTCTTAATGTAAGTCTACAAAAGACGAGAAAAACTCTCAGCAGCCTGAAATAACAGGGTTTGTTTTTTAAAGGAGCCTTTCATGAAGCAAGGCCATTTTGATGTGACAATTTTCTCATCCCCTAAAGGTATGACAGCAATTTCAGACTTCTACCAAAATAGAAATGTATTAGCAGTGCAAAGGCCAGAGTCAAGAGGAGCCTGTGAGGTGGTGTCAGCATGACCATTTACAGTGTATAGGGTTGTTCCTGTACTGGCTGCATCCCTGACCAGAGGTCCCTGAACACAGCTGTGACAGGATTTATAGTGCTGCAGCTGTGTTCCCCTGGCAGCTGGCAATCCCTGTTGAACTGGAAGATGAAGGAACTGGGCAGGAACTTCCCTGCCTTGGCTCCCTGACAGGGCATCCCAATTAAATTGTGAGTCACATTTGTGTTTCTTTATTCCCTTGGACTTTCGTTGTGTATTTTGGTGAACCCCGAGTGTCTTACATGATGTAAGGCTGCTTCAAATGGCAACAGGATCACAGCTGGGCTGTCATCCCAAAGTTTCCTCTTCCTGGGGATGAAGGATGTTATTCCCTCTGCTCCCCACTCCCCTTTACAGGACTACAGTAAACAAGGGTTTGCCAATGAGTATAACAAGCTGAGGTTTTCACATGCATAAGAGGGTAAGTGGAAACATTTGTCCTTTAGTCTCTTGGCTGTGATAGCTCTTCCCTGCTCCAAATGTCTGTGTGCCATTGGCATAAATATCTGCTTCAGAAATGGAGTCTGTCTCCTCCAGGGCTGTGGGAGAGAAGGGAAGACACTTTCCCATGGTGGTGGGAGAAGGGTTAGGGCAATACAAAGATCTTTTGGCTGTCTTTCTGGTAAATGGCATTTAAAATGTGCACCCTTTGCCTCAGTACTCTTCTTTGCCAGGTCTGCTCTGGGCACAGGGCTGCCTTTGCTTGGCTCTGTGAGAGTGGACAGGGAACAACTGGGGAGAGGTTTTGTCTGGGATGCCAGCATGCTTTGTAGGAATCAGACTTTCCCTCATGCACTTATAGCACTTGTGGCTTTAGTCTTGGCATTTCTCAGAGGCTAAAGCAGAAGCCAGGCTGAAAAGTGTCTGATACCATCAGCGAGCAGTCACTGTGGGCTGGGCAGGGAACCAGACTGGTGCAGCCCTGGAGAAATAACCACAGTCACACGTATCTGTGGTGTTGGCTGCTCACTGAAGGTCCATGGTGAAGTCTACCTGGCTTAGTTTCAGCCAGGAATCACCAAGCTCGGGGCAGCTGGGTGCAGACTCCAGGGAGGTGTGAAAGGAGACTGGGAAAGCGTGGATGTGTTCTGCACTGGATCTGCCTGCTTTCTCCCATAAAAAGTGCCTGTGTGGCTCTCATGCAGCCTGGTGGGATGACAACTACATTGTCTATTGGGAATTCTGTTGCAGGGGAACTCTGAGGAGCCTGGAGAAGCTGGGCTTGTAGCAGCACCAAATGCTTGTATAAGGAAATTAAACTCCTTTGCCTCCTTTGTGAAGTTCTTACTGAACTCTGGAATCCAGTTGCATCTCTAATACTTCTGATCATGACTTTAGAGTGAATCTGTGAAGGACGTGCAGGACAAGAGCACCAGCCAGAGAGGACAAAAACTGGAAGCCTAGCACCACTGTTCCATGCTTGCCACTGGCCCAGAGGTTACAAAAAAAGCAGCCCGCGTGAAAGCCAGGGGTATCCTGCATTCACTCACCATGTCCTTTGCTTTGCAGCACCTTAAGAATGACAAGGAAGATCTTCACCAACACCAGGGAGAGGTGGAGGCAGCAAAATGTCAACAGTGCCTTTGCCAAGCTGAGGAAGCTCATTCCCACCCATCCACCAGACAAAAAACTGAGCAAGAACGAGACACTCCGGTTGGCCATGAGATACATCAACTTCCTCGTCAAGGTCCTGGGAGAGCCAGGCCTGCAGCAGACAGCAGTGGCAGCTCGGGGCAGCATCCTGGGATTCTTCCAGCAAGCTCCACACTTGCAGAGCATGGAAAAGCTGACACTGATTGAAAACTGTGGTGTCTCCTGTCCCAGCATGAGCAGCAATATCGTAGAGTGTTGGTCAGAGGCGTCATGTCCCTAGCAGACAATGAGATAAGCAGTCTCAGTGTTAGTGTGATAGTCCCTCCCTCCTGGCAGAATCTGTGGATTGCTCTTCTGTGTACTGTGATTATTTATTTATATTTATTGCTATTTAATTTGCGTTTTTATTTAATAGGATAGGAAATCCTTGGTCGTGCAAAATCCTGGAAGTCCAAACGGAGAACTTGTGGTCTCTGGGAGCTTGGAAGGATTTGGTGCTGTCATGGCAGAGTCCAAGCCAGAAGAGTCTTCTGCCCAGATCTCCTCATAACTCAGGGCATAGAAATTCCTTTAGTGTTTCTGACAGGGAAAGAGATTATTCTCCCATGCTATTTCAAGGAAACACTATTGAGATGAAGAATTATGACAGCATAATTCTTAAGACACAAAATTTGTCCACAACAGACATCTGGCCTCGGTAGTGAAATATTTTGAGAAATGTGATATTTGACATAGTCCTCCATGAGTTGTTCTAGGGGCTAATTGCACTCACTCTTGAACATGTGAATCTTATTTCTAGCTTGATTCTTTTATTTTTAAATTTAAATCCTAGCCCTTGAACCTGGCTATATGTTTCTTCATCAGGCTGGAGGGATCCCTTATGTCAGAGAAAAGCACATTAAAGAAAATTAAATGTTAGGTTAAAGCAAAAAGTGCCAATTTAAAATGACAAAATACACAGTCATAGATGACTTTCAGTGGGTTCAATAGGCAAAGTAAATCTCCTCCAAAGCAGCAACAGTGAGCAGTGAAGAAAGATAGTCAGCTATGCCCCAACTGTCTTAAAAGCCCATCAAAGAGGTTGGTGACTCAATGCCTCTGTTCTTCTGTAGGAATTGTAGCAATGGGGGAGGTTCTCTTTGGGAGGGAGGTCCCAGGACAGAGGCCTCAGTGATGCACTGTGAAAACCTTTGTGGACACAACCATGTCTATAGTTGTGCATGCCTACTTTGCTGCCTGCCCTTAAACTCCCTGCTTTCACCTGCTCTAGCTGAGGTTCTCCCACCTGGATACCATCCCAAATGAGCCAATGGAGCAAGGACAAAGAAATTCCTGTAAATATCTTCCATTTGTGAGTCACTTCCCTGTAGGAAAAGTGTAGGGGTTTCCATGATAAGCTGCAGGAAAGGAGGTTTCATGAAAATGGCCATTGTGGGTTATTGTTGCCCACAAAAAATTCCAATTTGATTTCCTGAGCTATAACCTGTGCCAGCCAAGGCCTGGTCTGCTCATGTGACTTATGAGCAGCCCAAAACAGAAGAGAAAATGACACCAGGTTTAAGTAGAATGGCTTTCTGGTGAGATCCTGCTCCCACTGACACAAGTGCCTCTTGATTTCCGTGTGGACCAAGGTACATGTCAAGGCTTAGGAAAGACAATTGTTCATGACTGGTGAGGAAAAGCAGCTCCTGTAGGCCAAGGCATGTCCCTGGGCTATTTCTGTTTGTTCATGAGACAAAGAGGTGCTTTCAGAAAGCAGAACTAGGGTTTGTGCATGCAGCACGGCCTTTCTGCACGAGGGGATTTGGCACCTGAAGCTGAGCTGCCTTTCAAAGCCTCACCAAGCACCAGGTGCACCAAAGAAGCCAGGGCTGGCTCCTGCTGTGGGAATATTGAGCTGTTCTCAGCACTGACAAAAGCCAAGGTCTGACAAGAACGCAGCTCACCACATCCAGTGCTGGTGTAAGGTACAGGCATGCCAGTGGACAGATTTTGACCAAAAGAAAGAAAGAAAAAAAAGCTGAAAGGGTTCATGTTGATTTGGTTTCCTTTCTGAACACTGCTAATAATTTGCTTATCCCTGGGTTTGTGAGCTGTCAGGATGGCCCTGGAGAGCAGCTGAGTGGAAAGGCGCTGAGAGTCCTTTGCATGGTTCAGTTCATTTCTCCCCACCTCTGCTCACCTTTAATGTGACTAAATGGAGCCACAGCCTCTTCTGCATGGCACCTCAAAGGTAATAAGCCACATCCTCCTCCCAGCTTTCCACTTGCTGGAATTGCAGCAGGACAAATTAGTCCAAATAAATCAGAGCACTTCCTGCTGAGGTGTGGTGGTGCTGTTGGGTCTATCAGTCACTTGCTATCCTATGAAGCACACATCACCAAGGCAAGGAAAAACATCTTGTGAGCAGCTGTCATACTGGGAAGGGGAAAGAAAACCTGGCAATTTTGTAACATAACATGCTTGTTGTATTTTCTATGCTGAAAACCTTCCCTTGTTGTTATTGCTTCTGCTTATATCACTGTATTCTTTGATCTCCTTTCAGTTTAGGGGCTCCCTACTGTCACATTCTAGGTAGATTCCCTAGGTCTCTCTACCAAAGATTTCTTTTTTTTGGTCAAGTTTCTTCTTTGTGTTTTGGGGATTTCTTATCTGTGTCATCATGAACAAATACAGTGCAACTGATAACACTTTGTCCTATATGATGTTATTTAACACCTAATATATTCTAAATAAATTATTTAAGAAACTAATCTTTGTTGGTCTAAACTTCTCTAAAAATTCATTTTACATTTGCATACCACTTGGTAGAGGATCCCAAAGACCTTAGGATGTAATTTCCAGCAGAGCATTTTTCTACTGTCTCTTATGCAAGAGTCTAATGCAAGGTGGTAGAAACATTATCAGATGATGAATAAAGACAGGAATTCTTTGCTTATTACAATTTCTTACACTTTTAGTCCATATTGTATTTCCATCTATTAGCTATGAAGACTTTGACTAGCCTTTGAAAAAGACAAATAACTAAAATTTCATTGTGCAACACTGTTATTTCTCTCTTCCAAACATTCACTATTCTTTAATCAACTTCATTTTAAAAAGCATAAGACACTCTGAAGAATCAATTTGGAGTCCATTGTCATCTGGAGATGTTGTGAGATAATTGGACCTGTGCCATAGAGACGTACCAAGTAATTTGGAATTGGCTGAAAATGTCTCAGATATGTCGTTGCAGTGGCAAAACCTAAGTACAAATGACAAAAATGTCCCTCGTTCTAAGGACCCTACTGTCCCCTAGTTGTAAATAGCAGTGCTGAATAGAGTTGTATGAACAGTATTTTTTTTATACTTTCATAATCTTTTTTCTGTGAAGCTATGGCTGTCAATAATGCAAGGAAGACCAGCTAAGGTAGCATTTTCTAGAAGCATCTTGGTCTCTCCTGGTACTAAAAGAAGTGGTGGAAAGTTAAGAGTCATGGTCTGCTCCAACCCATGGAACTCCTAACCTGCACAGAGGGTGTGAAGTGTGCCCCTGTGAATTTGTGATGCAGAAACCTCAGTGAGCATTTCTAACAGGATCAGTAGAAGAATACAGCTCCACATTTCAGCTCAAATGAGGATTACTTTCTCCCGAGGCAGGAAAGAAGTTCTGCCACTGTTCACCTGTCACAGAGCCTAAGGGACCTGACGCCCATCACACCCACTTTCTCAATATCCCTGTTGTGGCTGTGGAAGGTAATTGAAGTTGAATATTTGGGCTGGGTAAGGAAAGGAATAAGTTGCAAATGTATCTTGAAAGGATGCTATAGTCTTGTGAACGAATCCCAGTGACAGCCAGGCTGTGATTAGAGGAAGAGCAGGTCTGCAGTCTGGGTTTTGGCTTGAGATTCTGTGGATTCAAATCCTGGTGGATGTGAACACGCTGTGCCTGGCACTGGACAATGCACAGTGAGATCCCACATGTGTGTGATGCCTCGTGGTTTCTGGAGGATTGCCTATGCTGAGGAAGACTTTGTGGTGAGGTTTGTTCTTGGCAGCCTTGATTCTGTCCCTTGTTTAGACAAGGGGGAGGAAGGCACAATGAGCATCACAGAGGGGGACTCACAGAATTCTTGGGACAGCCACATTAAATGGCGAAGCAGAGTTGTTTTAGGACATTGAGATCAATACTAGCATCTAGTTCTAAATAAAAAGTAAAGGTGCAGGACCAATGTGTTTCACAGGTATATGATTCATGAACCATTTAGCAACTTATCTCCCAGTATCTAACCAGTTCCCATAAATTTCTCTGCAGCTAGGGAATGATATGCAGTGACCATGGCTAAAGTAGTGTGAGCAAGGCAGATCTGACTTTTGTTCTTTGAAGACTGGGTGATGAAAGAAGGTGGAGAGAATGGACGACTTAACTACTGACCTGTGGGGCAGGGGTCACTTGAGAGCCAATCTTAAATCTAAAGGTCATTGATGCAGTGACAGAGTCTAAATCCACCACTTTTCAAGGGTGTAATTGTATTTTTGATACAGCAGGTGCTGAGAGAATCAGAGGGGAGAAGGTGCATGGAAGAAGCAGCTCAAAAAAGTACTTGGGTTACAAAAGGAAGAGATTGCCCTGTGCCCAGTCAATACCTATATCTGGTTGAATTTATTCACTTTTGTGCTTTCTGTAAGCCATGGACAGCATTTTCTTTGCCCCCTGAGTTGGTCCAACTCTTCTCTGTAAGGAACAGAGCCTCATCCCATTGTATTCCCACTCCACTCCCTTTCCATATGTGCACACAAATGCACATCCCACCTCTCTACAGTTTGTCTTGCTGCCTTGGATTGCAAACCCAGCAGAGCACAGGAGAGGACTCCGTGATAAACTTCTTTTGGAGAAGAGACCCTCAGCATCGAGGGCCAGAAAGAGAGGCAAAGAGTAGACAGCCTTTCTGAGTACATCTGTACTGCTGATTGTCAATGTCACAAAACAGCACAGAAGAGGTTAAGGATGAAGGGCAGGAAGAATGCAGTTAGACTCCTGTGGATTTCTGCATGGACTACACTGGGATTCAGATGGAGTCTCTGGCTTTTATTCTGTCCAGCAATGCAGAGAGGTACTCAGAAGCACAGGGCAGCAGAGGTTCCCCATGCATACACCTTTCTGCAGATGGCTGGGGGCACAGCACCTTAGAGATGGGGAAGGTTCCTCATTTTTCTGAAATTCCCTACTCTACACCTTGAAAGACAGACTCTTAGGTAGCCTAAAACCTTAATGAAACACTAAAGTATGACAGCCTGCAGTAAGCAAGTCTCCAGAGAGGTGTTTTGCTTCCAACTCTGTCTGTAGACATTGATTAGCATTGATTTTCTCTTGGTGACTGTATTTGGCAAACACTGGCAGACAGCAGTGTTCAGTCCTGGAGCTGAGAAAGGCCAAGAGCAGACAATATTAACTCTGCTTTCAGACCACAGCAGAATTGCCGTGCTCTAATACACTGATTTACAACCAACCAGAACGCAGCCTATGGATTCCCTCAGCTCAAGATTTCACAGCACTAAATTCCAGCTTTAAAAAGCTTTGCACTTACTGGAAAGACCTGGACTCTCAAGAGGAAACTTCAGTGCCTAAAAGCACCTTGAGTGGAGGCTATCAGACCTAGTTAACCACAAGATCTCTGACCAGTTGACCATTATCTGAAATATTTTACTGCCTATAGGTTAAAAGGTATTTCAGAAGGAAGAATCTGGTCTTGGTGAGCGGCTTTGCAGTGGTCTCTGTGGGACTGAATGGCAAAAAGTCAGCTGCCAGTTGAGAGTTCTCTGCAGAGAGTGAGCTTGGCAGATTGGACTTGACAAGAGCACTTGGTGCTGGCACAGCCTGCTTGGGTGGGAAATATTCCCACCAACAGAAAGGGAACGGAAATAACTCAATATTGAAGGGAGCTGCCTGCTCTGGCTCTTCCTCCTGAGCTATGCTGCAAACATTTTTCCCAAATTTTCAGGCACAAAAAAGCAGCCAGCTGCCGTCTGGTGAACATGCCCAGACCACTGTGCTTGGCACAGGACAGCCCAATCTCAAAGGCCACATTTCTGCATGTGAAATGCAAACAGGTGCTCCCCAGCTCTCAGGTTTAGAAGTGAGAAAGTCATGGCAGGTTAACTTCAGCAGCACAATTTTACCTGTCAATTTTGAAGGGAATAGCTGAGCAGATACAGAAAACAC